CAAGGGAAATACATGATCCACCACTTCGCAAAGTCTCACATACCTGTAAGGGAAGAGGGGATGGGGGGAAGAGAGAGAGAGAGAAACATATGAGATATTATCTAAACCAGGGGTCCCCAACCTGTGGGCCGCGGCCATGGCCTCTTGGCCATGGGCCGTGTGAATGGCTGACCAGTGCGTGCACATGTGCTGTGTGTGCACTCCCCCCACTCGCGCTAGCGCTGTCCTGAGTGTGACGCGGGGACTAGCCCCGTCCATCGTACAGACGCTAGCCCCGAGCTCAACACATGTGGGTGCTAGCCCTGCCCCCAGCATCACACAGGTGCTAGCCTTGCTCCCAGTGTCGCATAGGCACTCACCCCGCCCCTGGCTTCGCATGGGCTCTTGCCCCACCCCCAGCTTTGCATGAGCGTTCACCACATCCGCAGCATTATGCGGGTGCTCATCCTGCCCTCAGCATCGTGAGCACAATCGCACCACCCCCATTTGCGTGCACGCGGCCCCATGCCTGCCCCTTTCTTTCTCTAAAAAAGTTGGGGACCTCTGATCTAAACTATTTTATTTATTTGTTTAATTTACATGCTGCCCTTCTCACCAATAAGGCGACTTTAGACAGCTCATAAAACAGTAAAAAGGTGAAAAATAAACCATTATTACTGATGTCATGAATTGCATGAACACAACTCAGGCAAAATAATTAGAAAAACATAACATCCCTACAGCCTTTTAACTTATCTCTGAACATCAGACATACTGGTGTGATTTTCTAAAATAGTGCTAGGAGTTGAGATGCTGCTGAAGATTTGTAAACAGCAGTTAGTCAGCCTTACAGCAAAAGACTTGTAAGAAAATAAGCCATAATAGTTTTACCAAACCCACTGAAATAAAAACAGCTACAATAGCATTTCCTGCAGCTTACGGAAATGAACAGGTGAACAAGTAAGGTGTTTTTAAGAGTGAGACTTTCAATGACTAAACTGAAATTATCCTGATGTTCGGATTTTGGAGATTGGAAAGAGCAGGATAGAGATCTAGGTGAAAGCAACAAGATCTTATTTTTCCTAATCAAATTTATTAACTCTAGGGAAACTCCATCTGTAGCCAAGCTTTACACTTCCAAATATTTTTTCCCACCAGAATTTCAACTTCAGAAAACCTATCAAACACAACCACCAGGGTAAGACATACAGACAGCTTATGAGATGGCAGAAAACAAAAGTTTGGAAAGGAGAGAAGTTGTTAATGGATTTTACCTACAACAGGACTCAGTCATTCTTTCTTAGAGATGTTTACTTGATTATTCTGTTGTATGCACAAAATACCCTCATCTTATTGAAATCTTAAGAGGGCATTTTTAAAATCCCTGCAAGTGTATTTTTAAACCAAAAGTGAGTGTCCTTTAACAAAGAGATTGTTTAAATAAAGAAAGCGCTGAATCCAATATTTTTTGATCTCTAGATAACCAAAGTAAATGTTGGGAATGTGCATCATATCATTGAATTTTTATTTCAAGTCAATTCATTTAATTCCTATTATAACTTCCAACATCAAGGACTTAAGAAGAAAATCAGCACTACATAAAGCAGCAGAAAGATACTCACGATGAAATGTTAGTCTTAGCATGCTCTTGAATTAGTTCTCCTTTTGGATTAACAGTGAATATTCTGTTTAGTGAAACTCCAACTTGCTTGTATGAGTACACATCCTGGTCAAAACAACAAAAATATACGAATCTCATCAAAATAACCCACAAATAGTTTTAGGTGTATATATTACAGGCACTTCATGAATTTTAAGTTACAAAAATATATTCCAAGTACTGATTCTTTCAAGTTGATTCAGAATTTCTGGGGCAGTAGTTTTCACAGTAATAACACAGAAATGATTTGCCTCCGTTGTTTTACAACAATTATTTTAAAAGTTTCCTAGTCATCATCACCATTAAAAACTAGCAGCAAAGCTTCACAAACATTCAGTGACTGCTTGATCTGGCTACTTAGGGAATGGAAGCAATATAGAAGGGTGTATCTGAGCACAGATAAGAACCTTTGTTAAGGATTATCTTGAGAAGATAAGAGCAGTGTGTGCATTTCTCTGCTGTTGTTGTGTCTATTGACTGTCAATCTGTAAATTTAAGCGGATTCAATTATACCTAGGGAGGGACCAGTGGGGACCAGTGGAATACCTACAAGGTCATTGAGGGCTGTTTTCATTATCTGTTGGGTCTGATCTACTTTGAGCTGAATGTCAGCCATGCAAGTTCTTTGCAGGTAATTGAGGCACAGTCTAGTTCCATTATCTGGGAAGGGTTTGAATCTGTTAGTTCTGAAATAAGGGCCAGGGTTTTGGGGGGGGCTGTAAGTGTGGCCACTTGTGTTTCAGATCTATGTCCATTTAGGTTGGTCAAGTTCTCTCAGGAGGTGGTATGGTTGGATCTATGTAGTAGTAAACTCATTCTTGAGCGAGGGGATGGTTCTACTGACTCTGGAGGAGATGGTTTGATCCTGCCTTAAGAAACCATTGCAGGATCCAGCAACATTGGAAAATTAGAGTTTCAATGGGCACTCCTGGAAGAAACAGGTTCTTTGGACTCCTTTAGTCCAGTCTCAGACCAATATGTAGCACTGAGACCAACGATGGCATCCTTCTGAACCAGATCTAGGGTGGTCGGAAACAGATCGAAATGGCCCAAGCCAGCATGGCCAACTGGGACAGTGGGAATTGTAGTTTAACAGAATCTGGAGAATACTTTTGAACTGAACAATAAATCCACAGTGCCAATGCTGTGGAAGAGCTCTTTGGGAATAATCATCCCAGTTGGTACTTACAGCAGGCCTGTTGCCAAAAGCAGCATAAAAAGGTTCTGTGTTAGGATGAAATAAGTTTTTTATGTCAGTTAAACACTGAACTTTAAATTTCTCTGGCTTTTTCTCTATCACTTCCCTGAAATAAAAGAAGAAAATAAAATTAGGTAAAAAAATAAAATAAAATAAATATTACATGATAATGCTTTTATGTTCTTTCAGCTACGTATGTGAACAGTTTCAATTGATGAAGACTTCTGACTAATAATCTCTCAAGGTTTTCAGAAATATTTCATGCTCCATAGGGCTGTTTAAAATTAAATGTGAAGACTCATTCTATGTACACAAAGAAGGCCAATTGCATTGCTATAAGCCCGCTGATTTTGGCAATGTGAGAGCTGTGTTCATTTTGATAAACTTTTGTCTTCAAAGAACTGTATAATTTACTGATGGATATATGGGCCTTCTAATTATTTTATGGTTATCTGATTTCCTCTCCCTCAATGGACAACAACATCAAATCAGAATGGGAAAGTTTTTCAACCTTCTATATTTTAGAAATGTAAAGATCAAAAGTTTTTCTTTTAGCTTATTTTTACTCAATGTGAACAAAAAGCAAATTGATTGAGAATATATTTAGTGGGGAAAATATTCTGCTTTTAAATATTTCCCATTAAAAAAAACAATTTTGTGCATAAGCCTAAGGTAAATTGTGAGTACAGGTCCCAAATCCATACGAGCATATTTCTGCCTGAAGTAGCTTAAATCTCACTGCTTTTTCATCAGACTCACATAATTACCTTTCTTTAGAGTTTGACCCATAAATACTGAATGCAAAAACATGCATTACTGGACCACAATATTTTACTGCAATGTTTCATATATGATACCTTTGCAACCATACGTAACTATTGACACCCTAATCTTATTGGTAATAAGTCTAACCCCTGAACCATTCCAGGGATGGAAAAAATTACACCCTGTTTACGGCAGGGTTTCTCAGCCATGGCCCTTTTAAGAGGTGTGAACTTCAACTACCAGAATTCCTCAACCAGAATTCTGGGAGTTGATATCCACACCTCTTAAAAAGGGCCCAAACTGAGAAACACTGGTCTAAGGTGGCAAGACCAAGCGCTGTGATACCTGTGAAAAGCTGAGAACAAACTGCTGGGACTCAATAGCACAGGCCCTTGCGGTAACACCGTTCCCCGCTCGTTCACCCAATGCAAGTAACCTCGAGTCATATCCGCCATCCCAATAGCCCTGGCTGAACAGTACAGGAACTTATATCCATTTCTGCAGTTTTAAAGAGAGAAAACATGCCACCATCATCATCACACATTTATTTAAATCGTTTTTGCGGCCTACAGGGATTATTATAGTTACGTACACAACAATATGAAATCACCATATATATATAATATATATAATATATATAACGTTTGTGACTTTCCTAGCCAGACTCCAACAAGGAAAGTCAATGGAGGAAGCCAGATTTGCTTAACTATCACATGATTCATTTAACAACTGCAGGAATTCGCTTAACAACTTCAGGGGGGGGAAGGCTGTTAAAATGAGTGCGACTCACTTAACAACCCCTTCGTTTAGCAATGGAAATTCTGGTTACAATTGTGGCTGTGAATTGAGGACTACCTTTGTACCTCGAAAGATATATGAGTCCAAATGCAGATATGCAAGAAAATTTAGCATAGTTCATGTCCATGAGTTCTGCACATTCATTAAAGGAGGAAAAAAAATTGGCTCTTAGGTAAGTTGGGTGGACCACTGAAACAAATGTCCTTTTTATGCTAACTTAATAACTTCCAGAGTTATGGATTTCAACTCCCAGAATTTCCTGGTCGGCATTGCTGGTTGAAGAAGTCTGGGAATTGAAGTCCAGAAGTCTTAAAGTTGCCAAATTTGGAGACCCCTGTGCTACACTATGACTTCTGAAAGATCACGTTCAGGGATGCTCCAGGAGAGGGCAAAAATGGTAAGAGCTGCCTCTTGTTAGGCAGCCATGCTGTTTATCATTCCAAAACTGCCCATCCTTCCTGAAGGATGGGTGCTCAGTTCTCAATGTTAGAAATATTCTTAGCTTAATAAATGGCATGTGTTTTTATATGACAACTCATAGGCAGTGGAAACTGACTTTTAAAAAGGAAGAAAGGTGATTTTGCAAAATAGTTAATATACTTACTGGCTCACTTTGTGATACAATTTAGCAATGCCTTGATGTGTCCAGTCCTTGCCAAGGGTAGGCAAAATATGACCTAAAGTATCTGATCTGGAAAAAAACCAGAAGATTTTTGAAACCAAGAAGAAATATACAATAACAACCTGTATTTGTGGAATACAGAAAATACTTTTGGCAGTTAACATTAATATACTGTCAATTAATTTTACTAACTATTTTCCATCTTGTTAGTCAGAATAATTACTTTAATGATGTCTAGCAATGCAGGAATATATTTAGAAATATCACTCACTTTTTTTTCTTTTCCAAACAATTATCTTCACTTTACAGTGGGAGTGTTGGAAATATTCTAATTTTGACCCTACTGACTTGGTAATAGTATTATTACCAATATCCTTCCATGAGTAAATTATATATTAGAAGCAGCAGTTATTTTAAGCCACTTTATCATACACTCTTTTACTTGTTTCAAATTTCAATAAATGTTTATACATTTTAGCAATTACGTGTTCTTATTTGTACACAGTTCTATTTCAAACTCAGTCCTACAATGTTCAGAACCAAGAATTCTTTTGTCTACTTCAAAACTTTATAATAATTGTAAATAAAAAACATTGATAAGTAAATCCCTCTAGCACTAGTTCTTCTGTTGGTTTTATTTTACATTTCCCTTGACAGAATTCTAATAACTCACGATAAGTAAGCCATTTATGTTTGCTTACTATTGCACATCCATCAAATGCTTCTTTTGTTCTAATAGCAACAAAGGTGTTTTGGGCACAACCTGGGTTTGTAGCTATTCCCTATTTTCAGCATGGCACGCCTAGCAGAATTTGATGCATTAGTAGGATTTAAGATTAATAAACAAAAGCTAGATAGATAACCTTGTCATTTTTTCCTGTGGGCACAATGGCACACATTAAAAATGAAATGTAATTGCTTTCTCTCAAACATACTGTACATAACACATTTAAAACATACTATATACAACATATGTATAGATCTACACCCTTACATATAAGTAATATGTAAATATTATTCACATGTATAGGAATGATCAAAGAACACTTTAAAATGATTACTAAAAGTAAACAAACCAAATGAGAGGATACAGAAGAACTGCAACCACTGACTTCCTGGGCTATGGAAAACCAAGAAACACCTACCTGTACCTCCTGCAACATTTTACACATATTGTGGTCAGGATGAGTATCTCCTGCAGCTGGCCACTGTTTGGCACATAAAAGAACAGGAAAGCATATTCTCCTATCTCTTTCAGCCAGATCGGCAAAAAGCCACTATTATTTTTGTGTGTGTCACTTTTGTATCACATAACAGAAGCAAATAATTGGCATTCCCACTTTGTCTGATGTGGCACAGTGTTTAAAAATGGCCCAGTGCTTTTATATGCTGTAAAGCATAGACTGTGCCATCAATGTGTTGCTTGGAGTAGTTTGGTTCTTAAGTGAAATGTATACACAATTCCACCACACTAAACCGAAAGGACACTTCAAAGGAAATCTTTAACATTGTTTCTGTAGGACTTAGGTTTGCTCTTTCACAAATCATGAAATGGCCCATCTTTTAGTATTTGCTGCTCAGTTTAAAGTAAAAACATCACTATTGGTTCGTCTTATCATAGAGAGCAGAACATAGTATTCCTTGAACAGACATGTGTAATTCTGTGTCTGGCTAAAAACTCACCTTGTGATGGTGCCATCAATGTCAGAAATAATGACTTTGTCATCCCAGTTCCATAAATAAATGGTACCTTCACAGCGACATGTTCCTTGATATTGTGTTGTGACACTAAAAGTGACATCATTGGGACCATTTTTAAGGTTGAGATTTTTCTGTTAAAAAAAAATAGACACACTCTGTCTAGAATGTAAACTTATTTGAAGGAAATATATATGGAATTGTAGTTCAAATGAAGTTGGAATTATACTTACAGCTTCCAAGCTAACAATTTATGCTCATAGATTTAATGTTAGGAAAATATTTCATTTCACACCAACTAATGAATTATTTTGTTTCGGCCTTAAGAAAACCTACAAGGGGGAAGTCCACTAGTGTACAAAGCCATGACAGATAAAATCCCTTAGTAAAATCTCATTAATGCTATAGGTAATTTTGGCATATGCAGACAGTAATCACGTTAAGCTTTTCCAAAATATCTTTATAGACACTTAAAACATCAACTTTGGTTAAATCAAGATGCCTCCTTCGCTTGTATTCAATGCTGAGCCTATAGAATGAAATGCTATGTTATCAAAGAAGGCCCGTTAGCCAAAAAGATGTGAAGACTCAAATTGGACTTCTTTTTAAAAGTTATGCCCCACGTCCATCACCAATCAAGAATCTCTTCTTGTCAGTCAGAATTACAGTGCAAACACTCAGCTTCTCTTTTCTCCTTTTACAACAATTATTCAGACAGGCCTACATTATTTATGATTATGATGATTTATTACTTGTTGCTTGCACGTACACTGACATCTTATGTACCGGAGGCAAATTCCTTGTGTGTCCAATCGCACTTGGCCAATAAAGAATTCTATTCTACTCTAAATTCCAGATTTTGCTTTACAAGGCGGCAAAAGATTCCACAGTTGATCCCTCAGAGTTTGCTCAGGTGCCATTTTTTTGGGCATGGTGACTACACAAAATCTTCCAATGACTTGGTAAAAGCAGAAGGGTCCATGGCTCAGTGACCGAGCATATTCTTGGCAAGATCAAAGTGGCATCTTTGAAGCTAGCACCTCAGCCACTAGAAACCAGCATGCTTTCTTTCAAGAAGGCGAACAGATTCTACACCATAGTAAAGATATGTCACTGAAGCACACCTCAAAGAAAAAGAAAACAAATTCCCAGGACCCAGAGAAAGAAAACCCAAAGGTGCTGTTCAAAAGGCAGTTGGAGTTGCTTGATTTTTTTCCTTGAAAACATTTTGCTTCTATCCAAGAAGCTTCTTCAGAACTGAAGACGCTTCTTGGATGAGAAGTGAAACGTTTAAAAAAAACAAAACCCCAAGAAATTCCAGTTGCTTTTTGAACAGCACCTTTAGGACAACCATGATCTGGATGACGGAGAATCTCCACAGACAGAAAAATAAATTTATTTATAAATGGTCCCATACATTTTACTGATTTTTCTCAACCTGTCAATTTGTTCCCTTTTACTCTACTCTTTTTTTTAAATACAAATTTTATTAAGTTTTCCAATTTTTACAACAAGGTGCTTAGGAAACAGCGTGGTGATGGGGTAATCAATTATCCAAAAACCAAGACATTTGTATATAGCTCAGGTTAACTCGTTAAAAATTCCCTCTCTAGTTCCCTCAAATAATATACCATTTTTACTCTACTCTTAATGGATGTTATTTGACTGTTTTGTTCTGCTACAGTTCAATTAGCAGCCTTCCTTTCCCATGACCATGGACATAACTGGACCAGCTGGACTACCAATCAATAACCTCCTCTTCTCTTGTAAGCAAGTGATGCCCCAGGATATCCTTTACTTGATACTGGGAACTCTCTTATTATCACAGATGGATTCTGCGCGATGATAATGGGGAGGAATCCTGATGACAAATGTTACTTACCAGCTGTTCTGAACTGAGTCGAAGACTCTTTTTATAACCTATTCCAGACAACAGTGGAAGGTGAGTGGTTTCACTTTTAGTTCGATGGTCTTCATCACTTGAGGAAGAATCATCTTTGATTCTGAAACATCAGACACAGAATGCCCCCGTTTTTTTTTCTGTATCATCTCAGTGGGGAAGACATGTTCGTAAATATGTATTCCTCAGCCGTTATTGATTATTTTATTTATGGCAAGTGAACTCTCTTTGGGAATCCTAATCTGTTACTCCCCTCATTAAACCATACAGGCTGTAATCATACTGATATAATCCACAGCCATCTATCTCTGCCTCTGATTATTCATAATTTGGTATTTGTTGAAGCTCCCAGAACTGTCATCTTAATATAAAAGTAATAAAATAATACCTTAAGGTAGAAGCAGAGACAAACAGAGCCATTTGTCACGACTATGCTATCAGAACTAAAAAAAAAAAAGGATTTTCATCTTGCAAAACCCCAAAATAAATTTGTCAGTGAAATAAGTTTGAAACAATTTGGAAAGAGACACCATAACGTAACGTCTAACAGATTTGGATTCAAATCTTATTCAGTTATGAAACTCAGAAAATGTTTTCTTACCATTTTGAATAGATAAATGAAATAATGTTTAAAAATTTAAAAAAAAATAGGATAGAAATGTCCAATACCTGTCTGCAATACTCTTCTCTTCTTCTCCACTGAGACTTTGCACTGGCTTTGCCTCCTGTGAGTAAAATGTAAGTAAGAAAACAGAGCTACGGCAAAAATTAACACAGTTGTGGCACTATTGCAAAATCCATTCTTATTGGCCTCCATAGTTCTGTTTTATCCAGCTATGAGGGAAACATTTGTTCAGGTGATTCACATAAGGAGCTTTATTATGATTAATAATTTCTTTATGGATTTACTTCTAAAGTTTAATGGAGAATATTAATGACAAGTAAAAAGTAAAGGTAAGACTGAATGTAACTCGACTTATTGATGATACATCCATGGGGTCTCCTTGGCAGCAATACAGAAGTGAATTGCAATTGCATTATTCTGGGTAATCATTGTAAACCATTAGCTAAATGGAACGGCTACGTCTACTGTCTTTCTACTAGAGGATAATAAAAGGGCCTGGCCATGCTAATCATATGCCTTTCTTCAAGATCTCCCATAACCATTTTCGCAATCCCTGCAGGAGCTAAAATGCTTAATCAGATGGCTCATGCCTCAAATCAGCAAATGAGTTTTTAAATTATTGACAGTGACCTTGAATACTATTCAGGAAAATAATATGGCCAGGTTTGAGATGCTGAAGAAAGAATGTGAAATATCGTACCAAGAATTACAATAATCAGCTTCCCGGAAACCTTTGTTGTGGCAGCTTATATGGCTTAAGAATCTGCAAATACAGATAGTCCTCCACTGAGCCCAAAATTTCTGTGGCTAAGTGACATTTATTAAGTGAATTTTGCCCCATTTTACCACCTTTCTTACCACAGTTGTTAAGTGAATCACTGTCATGTATGTATTTCACTTTGAGAGCGGGCAACTAAATTTCATTTTTGATGTGTGCCATTGTGCCCACAGTATAAAAATGACAATAAAGGTTATCTTATCTTATCTTATCTTATCTTATCTTATCTTATCTTATCTTAATAACACGACTGTTAAGTGAATTTGGCTTCCCCGTTGGCTTTGTCAGAATTTCACAAAAGGTGATCACATGACACTGCAACGGTCATAAACATGAGTCGGTTGCTAAGCATCTGAATTTTCATCACGTGATCATGGGGATGCTGCAATGGTCGTAAATGTGAAAAATGGTCAGAAGACACTTTTTTCAATCCCGCTGTAACTTTGAACAGTCACTAAACAAACTGTTTGTTAAGTCAAGTACTACCTGTAATCTTTACATTCTGTTATCACCTAAATAGGATCCCAAACAAACAAGCAAAGCAATGCCAGTGTTTAGCATTCAACAGTTCATTTTGTTAAATCTGGATTCTTTAAGGAGAGTCAACAATTCACAGATTTCATGCAGGTGTGTGCGTTTGTGTGTGTGTTTGTGTGTGTAGAAGCCTAGAAGAAAAATTCAGGGTAGTTCCAGATTTACCTCTTTGATAGAGTTATTCCTCCCTCTCCATGAAAACCACCATCTTCCACCTTTTTTGGGCATCTTATCCCTCATTATAGAATCCACAGTAGCCTGTGATAAATGGATGGTAACATAAATAATGGAACTAAACAAAAAGTAATTGAATTCATGCAAACAAAAGGTTTTCTTAAAGAACAACCAAAAACAAAAAAGAACACAGAGACAATTTAAACTGAGGCAAAGCAAGTCAAAGGAAACATACTATCTGTGGGCTACAAATCTTGTTAAAGCAAAACCTAATGGTATCCACAAGTGCACGGAAAGAACTTAAACAAGAACACTTCAAAAATTCAAAAAAGAATAATTGGGAAAGAAAAATGGGAACAAAAAGGGCATAATAAGTTTAGTGTAATGCACAAAAGGTGAGGAGAAAGAAATACTAATTTTGTTTAGTATAAATTATAAAGACATTTTATTGGCAAGGAATTCAGCACGGTTGTCTTTCATAAAAATAATAAATAGCTGGATGTTTTACTGTCTTCTAATAATTGTTAGAACAGGATTAAACGATAATGCTTGAATGAAACTTTAGCATTAATATGGCAACCCAATAGCTGCAAACTGCTGAAGAGAAAGATACTGTCTTACAACTGAATGCATATAAATATAGGTGATTTCTTATTCTAACCAAAACAAATATTTTCTCCTTAGGCCAAGATAAAATTAACATCCAATTCAATATAATTCAATTCAATATTCAGCAGAGAAGGATCAATCCTAAAATGCATTAAAATACTTTGAATAATTCACCAGATTCTAGTTGCCTGATGAAAGTTACAATCTACCCATGTGAAGGAGCCATCAAAAAAAGGCAACAATTGTTTTCCTATCTCTCCTTTACCACAAAGACCACAGCTTTACATCATTTCAGAAGTCCACAGTCCACATGAAGGCTGCAGCAGTGGGGGAACCAGAAGCTGGACTGCAAAACCCATCATCTCTGAGGACTGGCTACAGTCAATGGGGCTTGAAGATCAGCAACTGGGTCTCACTCTCAGGCTTATAGCAGTAAAATAGAGATTTTCTGTGATCAGTAGGACAGGAAGTGCTTTCCTCAGATTACAACAGCAACTGGGATCAGAATTACTGTTACTAAGCGATGCGGGCATAAAGCACGATGTCAAGTGACCGCAACTCTTAGCGGCAACAATCCCGGTAAGTCCCAGATGCCACAGTAACCCCAAGAAATGTGGGTGATTAAGCAGAAGGGGACATCTCCATGTGCAGGGAGGCTGGAAGGAAGAGGGTGTGGTGTCACTCAAGCACAGGAGGCTGGACAAAGCAGGACAGGTAGTCGTTGACTTACAACAGTTCATTTAGTGACCATTCAAAGCTACAAGTCACTGAAAAATGTGACTTATGACCATTTTTGTAGCAGCCCCACAATCATGTGATCAAAGTTCAGATGCTTGGCAACTGGTTCATACTTATGACCGTTGCAGTGTCCCAAGGTCATGTGACAAGCAAAGTCAATGAGGAAGCCAGATTCACTTCACAACCGGGTTATTAACTTATCAACTGCAGTGATTCACTTTAACAACCGTGGGAAGAAAGGTCGTAAAATGGGGCAAAACTCACTTAACAAACGTCTCACTTAACAACAGAAATGTTGGGCTCAGTTGTGGTCGTAAGTCAAGGACTACTTGTATGCCGCATGAGTGAAGCGAGGCTTGGGGAAGCAGGACAGCAGGCAAACAAAGGGAAGCGGGTGAGGCAGGGCACCACGCCAGGCAAGCCTAGGAAGGCAGGGGAAGATTCAGCAGAGTGATTTGTTAAGCCTTCCCTGTTGGCTTCCCATTGACTTTGCTTGTAGGAAGCCGGCAGGGAATGTTGCAAATGAGGATCATGTGACCATCAGGCACTGCGACGGTCCAAAGTAGGAGCCGAGCCGGCTGCCAAGTGCCCAAGTCGCAATCACATGACACGGGGACTGTGTGATGGCTGGAACTTCTACGAACAGTTGTACGTTTCCCTAGTTCAACACCATCGCAATTTCAAATGATTGCTGAACAAGTGGGGTCAGTAAGAAAGGACTACCTGTATGGCATATTGGTTTGGAAGAGGACTAAGCGTGAAATTCTAGTGAATTTGAATTCAGTAATGGAAATAGCATGACATTTTTATAGCCGGTGTGACCTGTCAATGATCTTTGCTCTTGTCGTGCCATTTGATGTTGTAAGGAAAAAGTGAAAGCAGATAGCAAATCCTGGCTTGAATTTACCGTATCTGCTGCAACTTTACTGACTGGACAGATCAATCAATCAATCAATCCTCAGAGACAAAAGGATGCTACTGAGTCTATTATTTCATCAAACATTACACAAATTAAGGGCTATCTTGGGATAGATTTTTATGTCACTATCAGTCTACAGGGAAGACCTCAATAGACTTCTAACTGGACATAAGTGTGTCTAATGAAATCAATTAGTTCAGAAGTGGGTAAGAGACTTTATATGCAAGAGCTAGGCCAAAGGGAATGTATAGATGACCTTGGGGGATGAAAGAAAGAGATATTGTCTAGGAAACAATCAGACAGGAGGAGGAGGAGGAGCCTCCAAGAGTTTAATGATCAGAGAAAGAAATTTAGGAAGAATCTGTCCTAATTGATCAGATGGGTCAGAGTGATAGTGGGAAGTCTGGGCCTTCAGACTTACAAGTTTCTATTAATATAACCTTATAATGAAGTAGATTTAGGCCATCTACTTCTGTTTCCTGTCAGGTTAACCCAGAAAGGCTGACAATAAACTTTGAGTTTCTTCCCCTGATAGCATACATCCAGGCATGGCGATAACATACAACAAAAGATTATGCAGCTCCAAGCTTCATTTTATTGATAGATAGATAGATAGATAGATAGATAGATAGATAGATAGATAGATAGATAGATAGATAGATAGATAGATAGATAGATAGATAGATAGATAGATAGATAGATAGATAGATAGATAGATAGATAGATAGATAGATAGATAGATAGATAAGTTGTCTTTCTCTTTTCAAAGAGACAATTCTGAAGGCAAATTATCTAATCCATCACAAACAATGGCTTTGAAAACAAAATTGCAAATTCATGCAAAATCGAGAAAATCTATGAAGTGCCAATTCATGGCCCAAAATTAATATAATTATTGAGCGACTTAAATATTTATTATCTATCTTTAACTAGGTAAACTAGAAGAACTGTCACACAAACTTAATTTTACTTTCCAATATGACTGAACTAAAGAGGAAATAGCTAAATGTTATCTTGGAAACTCTGTTTTTTTTTTTAAAATAGTCTGAATCTCTAACTCTGTAGTCATTCTAAACCAAAAATAAAAAGACTGCTAGAAAAAAAAAGCAAAAAGGTTAGCTCGCCCCACAATGAGTTGCAATTGTGTATTAGTCAGGGATAGAAGAAACCAGAAGCCCGGGATGTGGTGGGGTGGGAGGGGTAACACTACAACCTACAGAGTCTGGCTAGCCCGGGGGTCTTCAAACTTGGCAATTTTAAGACTTGTGAACTTCAACTCCCAGAATTCCTCAGCCAGCCCTGGGAGTTGAAGTCCACAAGTCTTAAAGTTGCCAAGTTTGAAGACCTGTAGGCTAGACAGAAAGAGCAAGGATCTTTGCCCACAAGGCTGGCGTGGTCAATCTCACCTTTGGCAAAGGTTTCTGGAATGCCTGCATTGCCAGCAGGAGCGGAGCTGCAGTTGTCCAGTTGTAGTACCTAAGAGAGCAAAACAATATTTATATACAATCCTTGAAACACACCAATTATTTAATAATTATTATTTAAACATGCAAATTAGAGCCGGTTTGGTCTAGTGGTTAAGGTGCTGGCCTAGAAACCAGACAACTGTTGAGTTCCAATCCTGCCTTAGCCATGAATATGTTTGCCACCTTGGGATGTTTATAAAAATAATAAAAGATGTAAATAAATACATACATAAATTACCACAGAACGTGAGGCAATTATTTCTATTGAAAAGGTTGGCACCAGAGGCATTTAATTAAAACATTTCAGGTATTACATTAATATTAATTTCAACACGCTGCATATAAATGTTCCTATATATAGATGGATATCAAATTAGGTTTCACTTAGTATTTTAATTTTTTTTTCCCAAACCTTCAATTAATTTCATCCATTTTTAATGTGTATTTTCCCCAGAACGAGCACTTCTGCAGCTTATTTTTCTAATATAAAACTCGCATGAATATTTTTCTAACATGGATGTGCATTTTGGTGCAGGTAGGTGAATTAAGATTAAAAGGCAAAGGAAACCAATTCCGGGTCGAGTTTTATTTCACTGAAGGAAATTCATTCACTATGTCTGCTATTATGGAAACAGCATCACAGAACTGGAAGAGACCAGATCAACACCTCTTTGTACAATGCAGGCTGCACTACATCATCTCTGATAGATGACAATCTAGCTTATAAGTGAAAACCACTAAGCAAATGGGAATTGACCATTTCTTGCAGCTTCTTATTTCCATCGTTCATACAACCAGGAAGTTCCATCTGATATCTAGTCTGATCTTCCTTCTTATTTTTAACTAATTGGCTTTGACCTTGCCCTTTAATGCTATAGAACACAACTCTATTCCCTCTTCTGTGTAAGAGCTTTTCAAATTTTGAAGACTACTATCCTATCTTCTCTTAGACATCTTTTCGGCTAGTTAAACATAACCTTTAACTATTGCTCAAGTGGCTTGGTTTTTGAACTATTTACTAATCTTGGTGGCTTCTCTCTTAACTCACTCCAGTTTGCTACTGATCAAAACTGAACACAGTACTCTATAGGGAGTCCAACCAAGGCAATTACTTCCGATGATCTGGACTCTATAGTCCTGTGACTCAATCCTATGTAGCATTTGCCTTTTTAGCAGCTGCATCACACTGTTGGCTTGAAGTTGACCAGATGCCTTTCACATGAATTACCGCAAGTCCTACAGATAGTCCTCACTTAACAATCCGAATTGGGACTGGAATTTTTCATCATTAAGTGAAGCGGTCATTACATAAAACCTCACAATTGCACCACTTAATGACAGCAGTTCTAATACTCCTGGTTGCGGTCATTAGGCCAGAACCGTGCTGTTGCTAGGTGAAAATCTTGTTCTTCTCCTGCCACGGCATACTTGTCTCCGCTTCAACTCCCTGCAATCCATCTCTTCCCTTTTAGCAATAACTCAACCTTGAACCTCACCGGCTCAAGGTTGACCCAGCCTTCCATCCTTCCAAGATCGATAAAATGAGGACCCAGATTGTTGGGGGCAATAGGCTGGCTCTGGAAACCACTTAGAGAGGTCTGTAAAGCACTGTGGATCTAAATTAAATGCTATTGCTAAGAAGATGGCAAAGGTCAGCAGGGACAGCAGAGGTGGTGGAGCACAGGACATCTAAAAGGGGAGAGATGAGGAGGGATAGGTGGTGGGGAGAACTGAAGCATGTTCTGCAGACATAAATATGGGCAGAGTGCCAAGTGGCCAAATTTGGATCACATGACCAAAGGGGTGCTGCAATGGTTGTAACTTCAAACACTGGTCATAACTATAATTATTTCAATGATAGTTGAATTTTGGTCACTAAACAAATGGTCATTAAGCTTTAGACTATGCCCACCATTTTTTTTACCTGGGTACAGAACCTTTAATTTCTCACTTTAAGTTCCATGTTGTTAATTTCAACCGGTTGCTCTAGTCACTCTAGATCTTTTTGGATCTGTTCACTCTGAAGGATTCTGGTTTGTTGTTGTTTTTTAACAAAATGCACACATTTTATTGTGTTAAGCTGTACTCACTTGTTTCCAATCTTCACCACAAGGTTAGGGTCGTCAATAAGAGCTGGGTTGTCCACAAACTGCTGATAAGAGACTTCTTGTTCTAAAAACTTTTCTGTTTGGAAGAAAGAAAAAACATGAATGAACCTCAAGTAACAGGTTAAAATAGCACTTGGAATATATTGTGGAATTAGCCTCTTTAGGAAACCACAGAAGCATAAGAGCAGTTTCAGAGCCTGTGATCTCAGGTAGCCAGCACAGCATAGTTTTAGGAGAAAAGGAATATAAAGCCTGTCATCTGAAGACTCCCATCAAAACTGAAGCAGAGAATGCTGCTCGAAGTAGACTCTAACCACCTTGGTTCTGTTTGTAGGAATTCCAGCAGATAAACTCACATATTCAGTTTTAAGAATAGTCTGTCCTGATTATTCTTGAGAAAACCTCAAACTGAATGTCGGGTTAGACTGAATCACAGATCTGAATAAATTTGTGTTCAGACAATTGTAATGCTGAAATATGAATCTTCTTTGAAAAGAAAGATACCTATATACAGGCTATAACCAGTCATGTAGCTTTGGCAATAAGACTCCTGCAATGTATAATTTATCTGAAAACAACTCCTGGATGGTGGTTGCAACCAAACCTGCCTTCCACCTACATTGTGCTTTTATAGGTTAATAAAAAAATAAATTAAATCACCTTGCACAGACTAATCTGAATAAACATGAATGGTGCCCTTTAAAGTAGCACTGAAAACAATATTTACAGCATGACTTAAGGTTAGGGGCAAGAACCGAGATAAACATCTTAGAGTAGCATGTAAATTGCTAATTGATTAGTCACATACAAATGAATCAAGCTCAGCTACCTCAACCTGTAATAAGCAACAGTTCTTCTACTCACGGTTCTGCAATCTCCTTGAACCTATTTTATCAACTTCCCATCTTTTATTTTATTCGGCTGTGCCAAACATATCCATTTTTTCTGCTTCTATCACAGGCTGACCTTCTCCTTGCTGATCAGCACTCCGGGATAGCTGTCTTTATTTTATCTAAATTTGATTAATTGGTTCTCCTTGGGTTTATTTTTCTCTCAGTAATGATTTCCAAATCCATAATTTGCTGTTTCTCAATAGCCGGGTTTCACAACTGATCTTACCGTAAGAAAGATCATTGCTTTAGCTGCTCTGACTGTTGCTGTCATTGAAATGTCTTATATTTCATCATCTTCCCCACGTCTGTCTTTCCATTCCTATTTTATTCTGCTCCTCCAAACTCAGCTCTTCTCATACACTATAGCAGTGATGGCAAACTTTTTAGAGACCGAGTGCCCAAACTGCAACCCAAAACCCACTTATTTATCGCCAGGTGCCAGGTGGGCGTGGCTCACTGGATGGGCGTGGCTGTGGTGGTCATGGCAGATTGGGTGGGTGTGGCCAATGTGGGCATGATCACCTCAATGTTACTCATGGGGAGGGACACCTGTGGGGGCCGGGCAGGATTGGGGGAGATCCAGGGGGTCTCTAGCAGGTGGGGCGGTGGGCAGGAGGCTCATCCTGCAGGGTGAGGCGAGGCAAGGCGAGGCGAGGCAGGTGGGGGTGCCATTTTCACAGGACAAGGTGAGGCAGGGGCCCGGGCGGCTGCTGCCTGACACCATCGGCCCCTGCACACAGAGGCCAGAGAGTGCATGGGTGCTGGGATGCATCCGGCCATGTGGGACCTCGGCGAGTTAGTGGGCGGCTGGTTGAAGAGGGACGGTTGCCAATCTCCGGGGCATGGCGCACGTGCCCACAGAGAGGGCTCTGAGTGCCGCCTCTGGCACACGTGCCATAGGCTCGCCACCACTGTACTATAGATTCCTCAGAAAAATAAAACAGATTTCCAGCAGATTTACTAATCTGCTATAAGTCAGTTTTTGCTGTTGATAAACCAAAAGGTAAACTTCCTTCTTGGGTTCGCTTGCTCCTTCCCTCTTATTTTGCTTATTTCTCTTTTACACAATCTATGTACTCATCAGACAAACATCTTTCCACACTTGGCTTTCTTCTTCCTTGTAAGATCTTAAGTAAAAAAAACTTCATTTGAGAAATCACTGTAATTGTTTGGTCATTTACACATGCACTTATATCCCCTTTCTCTGATTTAGTTATTATACTGGTATTTTCCAGTATCTGAGCCAAATGAATATTGTTTCATATTTACATGCGCTTTAGCACTTAAAATGCATCTTCGTCTGCAATTGTGAACGGTTCACTGGCAATTTCATCTGCACTTACCTTCCTACTACCTGCCATAGATCACTTTTTCATGGAGTAACTTCCTGAGTGTATTCTTTTAAAAAAAAACATTTGTCACTCTGAAATCTTAGCTATAAAAGGAATATTAGTATAGTCCTTCACTTCTATTAGATTTCTTCTGTGTTTACTCCAGTATTAGCCATACATTTCCTGCTTTTCCCTGAACATCTTAAAAACTTATCTCATTTTCTTTTTCTTGATGTATTTTTTATTTGTTGACCAGGGATTGAATGTTTCCCTTGTTTTTTGCTGCTTGATGCCAGAAAAGTGCATTTAGTTCCAAGACTTTCATCCTTCATCTTTTTCTGGTTATTTAAACTTGCTTGCTCTAAAAGCCATTTAAAACTTTTTTTTTTCTTTTAAATTTTAGGAATATTTTTTGCAATTTCGTTTTCACTATGTGTCTCAACTCCTTTGTATAGCTCTTCTAGTTCTCTTTCACATATTTAAGTTGATTTTACATTCTAATTAACTGGACCAAATCTTGTTCTCTCCAATGGTCTAAATTTAATTTATGCAAACATGGCACCAATAGTTTATGGTCTGTTTCACAATCTGCACACTGAAATTTCTGGCTTACTGCACTGTACTTCTCTTCTTTGTTTCCTATTATCTAGTTAGCATGATTCTGTTGTTTTGTATCTGATGATGTCCATGTGTAGAGGCTATTTTTATCCTCGAAGCAGATGCAGGAAACAGAGATTCTCTTCACAACGTTTTGTAAAACTATCTTATCTTTCTATAATTTTAAATTCCCTCATTTCTTCATACTTTGCACTTCCAAACCTATTGGTAAAACTAATATAAGAATGTTATTATATTAGTCCCTCTTATAATTTGTCAAATACTCACGTTGTCCACCACTTAGTAGGTGTAACACTTGTAAAACGTTAGTGCTCCACTGGGTTATTAAGCTAATAGAGATAGCCTTACAACAATACAGACACAGTTTCTCATTGCTTTTCTTCCAGCTTGATTTTCAAGCTCTTATTCCTCGCTGTGCTAATTGAATTTTTATTCAATTTACATTGCCATCCATTTCAAACATGACTCAGGGTGGTTAACAAGGGATAAAAACAAGTAAAAACATCATAACCAACACAACAAGTAACAAATATGTTGTATATAATATGTTTAGGTGTGTGTCATGTATGTGTTTCACTTTGAGAGCGGGCAACTAAATTTCATTTTTGATGTGTGCTGTTGTGCCCACAGTAAAAAAAATGACTATAAAGGTTATTTTACCTTATCTTTATCTTAATAAATAACAAATATAGCAGCTGAAATAAACCAGCCAGAATAATCAGCATAACCTTGCTATGGGCTCAACCACACATCCCTGGCTCAGTAGCAGAACCCGATCTTTAGGGCCTTATGGAAAGCTAGTAGGGTCAGGGCAACTTTAATCTCTGGGAGAATGACATTCCTGAGGGTGGGCATCGTGACAGAAAAGGCTCTGGATTGTGTTAGCTGCCTCCCACACTGAGAATTACTGTTACCTTCATTACCACCATCACCACCACCCTTTTGACTTATCTGGCAAGGGAACGACACTAAAGCATCCTCTCACTCTCAGCATCACTGAAGCTACTAAGGCCCTTGGCCACACTCAGATGGTAACTCTAATCGGTACACCTTCACAGTACAATTTAAAAATTGGAAAGGCAAGACCACATCTCTCTTTGGAGTCCTGCAGAACCTTTTTGCTTAACTGTGGGTTTCCCCCCACCCCCCATCCCCTTCCATATGAATTTATTAACAGTGTCTCGCCATCATTGTAAAGTTTTCTCAGAAATTCTGAGCAGCGCTATTTGAAATAGACAATTTATCTTGGGTAATGCATCCATTTTAATAAACAATTGACTGGAAGCAAGATGGGGCCTACCTGCTTCCTGCTTTCCTGTCCCCAGGATGCTGGGAGCAGTGTCTCTTGCGTAATCTTAGAGAAAGACTGGGCTGGGACTCCCCAGACATTTGGTCCTTTGTGAAGGGGGGCGTCTGCTTCATGCTGGCCCTTCCCCGGAGTTTACAGGCATAGATGGGGGAGATACGAGGTGGAAGAAGTTGCAGCACCCCTGCAATTGGTCATAAGGGCAGGTGGACTGCCAAGCACCCAAGTTTTCATTATCCAATTCATTATTTTCATTCTTCTGATTTCAGGGGTGCTGCAACACCCGTAACTTCAGGAACAGGTCATAAGCCCCTTCATTCATCATTGTCGTAATTTTTAGCAGTTGCTGAACAAGTGGCCGTAAGCAGAGGAATACTTGTAATGAAGAAATACTATGTTATACACAAATTCTTTAAATGATGGACGTTTGTACATCCTTCTGTCACACATGCCTTAGCGCACAATATCCACAAGAGGTCACTATAAACTTTTTCCACAGAGGGGTTGGAGCATTCAAACCAGGCATTACTGTATTTTACAGTACCGTAGGAGTAGCGGAGGTGTTGAGCGTACCTTTGGATATTTCTTTATTGTCGCTAAGTCCGCCGCAAAGTGAAATGGCAATGGAGGGCAGATCTCGGATTCCATCCGAAGTGCTCTCTACACCACTGTCCACCCCTGAGCTTCCGACCGATTGAGGAGATTGGTTGGCTGAGCGGGGACTATTATCACTGGCGTTCTTCGAGAGGGCAAGATGATCACCACTGAGAAGAGAAGGACAGTTAGTGACCTCCACTCTTTCCTAAAACTCATGGATTTCATCATCTTATTCATCTAGCCTGCTTCTCAGCCTTAATAGGTTAAGCAATTGCTACAGGGAATCTCTCTTGTCGAGCAATTAAAGCCTCCAAAAGGCTTATCACAGCCTTCAAACAAAGGAGCTTCTAGGTCAGTGATGGCGAACCTTTTAGAGACCGAGTGCCCAAACTGCAACCCAAAACCCACTTATGCATCGTCGGGTGCCGGGTGGGTGTGGCCATTGGGTGGGTGTGGCCCATTGGGTGGGTGTGGCCCATTGGGTGGGCGTGGCTGTGGTGATAACGGTGGGACTAAAAAGTTCAATCAATCAATTCCAACTTTGCAAGATCTTATTTTTTCCCCCGCAAGAAGTTGAAATTGACCGATTGATTGAACCTTTTTTTTTTTTTTTGCACACGGTGGCAGAGGCCTAAAGCAAAAAGGTTTTATAAAACCCAGCTGAAGGCCTGGGACTGAGGCAATGGCATGCATGCCCACAGAGAGGGCTCTGCATGCCACCTGTGGCACCCGTGCCATAGGTTCGCCACCACTGTTCTAGGTAATATATTTGGATAGGTACAGGGAAACTTTTTTACTCCCAATGGATGCTTCTAGTCTTACTCCAGTGCCTTAGACATTTTTTTTTTAAAAAAACAGCCAATGTACAGTCCAAAGATTCCCAATGCCTCTTTTGGATGGGCACTAATTTTTATAAGAATACCAAAATAGCCCTGAGAGTTTGATGTTTGTTCAAAAAAGGTGCCCTTCTAGCACCAGACCTAAAGAGGTATGATAATGCTCCAGCAATTTATTTATTTATTTTTTTGCATGATCCTTTCATTTTACTTCTTCAACTTGTCACTTTTAAAAAAAAAACTAATTTGTCTTAAAAAGCATTAATAGAGAAAAAAAGAAGTTTTGGCTTTGTGCTTTTAGACAAATTTCAACCAAGTACAGATTTCCTTCAAAAGCACAAAGGACAGAATTTTGTATGTGAGGACACAAGATCTTGAGAAAGCTATTTCCATAAATGGTAAATGTCAGTTTATAGCATGCATACTTTTTAGGGAAATAGAGTGCAGCAACCTCTGGCTCCATGTCAGTCAGATCATCTAAATATACACCATCAGCACCAAGATGTCGGCTCCGCTTATCTGTAAAATGCAAAATTTTATTATCATGCAGTGCTTTTTAAGCAAGTACACTTGTCTCCTTTTGAAGAAACAAAAATGTGCAAGAACTTATTTGATCCATTTAACAGAGCTTTTACCAGGAGCTTATTGATACAAAAGAAACAAATAATAATCCATTAAAAAGAGTAGGAGAATAAAATTCTCCTAACAGTGGAATAACAGACTCAGAATAAATTTTTGTGGGTGCCGAAATGGACAGGGAAATGAGATTAAATAGGTGAAGTCGTATCTCAAGCAGGGAATTTTATGGTTGTTTTCTTATTTAGGCTTTTCCTCCATTATAGCAAAGCTACGGTTCATAGTACAGTTTACAGGCAGTCCTTGACTTACAACAGTTCATTTAATGACCGTTCAAAGTTACAATGGCGCTGAAAAAAGTGACTGATGACTATTTTTCACACTTACGACCGTTGCAGTATCCCCGTAGTCATGTGATCAAAATTCAGATGCTTGGCAACAGACTCATATTCAGGACAGCTGCAGTGTCCCAGGGGACTTGTAATCCCCATTTGTGACTTTCTGACAAGCAAAGTCCATAGGGAAGCCAGATTCACTTAACAGCTGGGTTACTAGCTTAACATCTGCAATGATCCACTTAACAACTATGTCACGAAAGGTTTTAAAAATGGGGCAAAATTCACTTAACAAATGTTCCAGTTAGCAACAAAAAAATTTGGGGCTCAATTGTGGTCGTAAGTCAAGGACTGCCTGCACTGTGTTTTCCATTTTAAGGGTTAGAAAACTGCACTATTCATTCAGCTGTTATCTTTGCTCTTGCTCCCCCGGTTTAAAGGAATTTCCTGCACCTGTTTAAGGAAGGGAAAGCAGGAAAAGCCTCTTTGCATGCAAGGTGACTATACTCCACACCTGTTGACCTAAGAGGAAAATTGCTTTTTCCTCTTTCTTTTCATTATCTCATTTCTTGGAAAGGCCAGTTCATTTCACTGATAACAAGTTGTTGACAATAATACTTAGTTGCAAAAGGTGCCATACCCTTTTTTTTCGAGGGAGAATCTGTTTTGCTGGCTGGCTGCATCAAGCCGGTTGTGGCTGGCTTTAATTCTTCACCGGCCGGAAGTGGAGGGGCTGCCGCTCCTAAAGTCTCTATATCCATTTGGGATGTTTCGGGTGTCAGGAGCTCTGCTTCTTCCACAACCAGCACAATCTCATCCTGTCCAGGGTCAGGTAGGGAAGAGAGGTGCTGAACCTCTTCCGTATCGGTACTCTGGATGACTCGAAAGTGAGTGCTTCCAGAAAGATTCACAGTCACTGAGGTGCTGGATTCTTTTGGCTTGTGTGGGGTAGCAGTCTAGAGAGGAAAAAGAAAAGTGCGTAATTCAAAAAAGGTTCCTGAAAAAAGAACACAGAGTGACACAACGCATGAGAAAGAAAAGCAACCTCGTTGCACTCATATCACAGGGCAAAATCCCTGTTAACGGTTAGGATTATTTCATAAATGCATTGAAACAAATCTGGATTTGCCCGCAAGTACTGTATATATTCTCCGAAGTCAAAGGTGTGATGATATGTTTTTAGACCTTTGTTGGCTACTATCCTGGGGTATAGTCTCGTGATAACCTGATCTTGCCAGAACTACACAACTACACAACCTTAGTCTGGGCAGCGGCAGGATGGAAGGCCACTAGGGGATAATCTTGAGAAGATGACAAAACTTTTGTCAGGATCCGAAACAAAACATGACTTCAGCTCCTTCTTCTGGACCATGTATGAAATAATTAAAAAGTAGAGTAAGGGATTAGATTTCTATATTACAATCCTCTGCTTGTAATTCAATCTACATTTTTAACACTAGAAGAGTAGGAACAATTCTTCCCACTCTGTTGCAGGAAATCAAGTTTCACAGTTGTTACGGAGGTCATTTAGTCATCATCAGGCATCCGGGGTCAAAGGAACACTCCTAAATATGTGTAAAATTGTTTTAAGCTAATTCGGTATCTCAAATTCTGCTCACTATTGAGATATTGGAAATCAGTCAAAAACCCACTCATAAGTTAAAAGGCCACAGACCAGGCGACATTTTTGCTTCCTTCCACATATTCAATTATTGCGTTTTCCAGAAAGTGACAGAGGACAAATGACAATGATGACAATACAGTGCCATGCGTTAGTTTTGCATGCATACATTTGATTCCCACCTGTCTCCTCTCCCCAGGTACCACTGCTAAGAAAACATAAGGAAGCATCACCATCAGCTTTCGAGCTGCACTTCCATCATTTTTGTATCAACCAGAAATTGTTCTTAGTTTTAACTCTAGCTTAACTGAAGAAGCAAGTATTTAAACCATGTTCAATACTTGGTTGTTTGGACAAACCACAGTTAAAGCTAATTAAAGCTGACCTACGTACAGTTGCGGACCTGCGCCTTTTTCGCCGAGCCCTGAAGGCCCATCTATTCCGTGCGGCCGGCCTGGCGTAGTTTGATTATGTTTCAGTGGGATTTTTTGTATGGGTGTGTTTTTAGAACAGGCCTGTTATTTAATTCGATTTTAAAACAGAAACTATTTATTTATTATCGTGGTTTTTAGTATCGCCTGTTCACCGCCCTGAGTCCCGTAAGGGAGATAGGGCGGTATATAAATTTAATAAATAAATAAATAATAAATAAATAAATAATTCAAATGTGTCTAAAAAAGAAATAGATTCTTGCCCTCTCTATAAAGCCATGGCAAAACACCAGGTAGAAGACTGGGCTAAGAGTTCAATATTCCTAATACTACTAATGATAAGCTAATAACTATATCTTCCCTGTGTATCTATTAACCACTTCAGAGTTCTATATCCCATTCAGGCAGAAGAAAAACCTCAAGCATTCTATTAAAAAATCTGTAATGTCTCATTCTTGTTTCTTTTCACATACCTTTGTGGCTTGAGGTAGTTCTCCCCAGTCCCAATGCATCTGAGGATTATTGTTCTTAACACTTCTTTCCAGAGGCTTACTGACTAATTCAGAATCACTTTTAGGAGTGAGAGATCGTGAATCTAAAGGGCTGCAGGAAGAACAAGGAAAAATGGGAAGAGCGTGAGATAAGGCAGGATGTTTAGTTTTCTATTCTGAGTGCCAATGTATGGACTTAAGCCTACTAATTCAATTTGGATATTAAGTCTTGATCAAGAGGCAATCCTAACTGCTGGCCAGATGAGGAGAT